CATGCAAACAATAGGGAGAAAAAAGCAGAAGTTGCAGTACTTGTATCAGATAAAATAGACTCAAAACAAAGAAAGTAACAAGAGACAAAGAAGGACACTATATAATGATAAAGAGGTCAGTCTAACAACAGGATAACAGGATATAGGCATTATAAATATCTATGTATCTAACATAGGAGCACACAAATATGTGCAACAAATACTAGCAGAATTAAAGGGGGAAGTAAAATGCAATGCATTCATTTTAGGAGACTTCAACACACGACTCACTCCAAAGGACAGATCCACTGGACAGAAAATAAGTAAGGACACAGAGGCACTGAACAACACATTAGAACAGATGGACCTAATAGACATCTACAGAACTCTACACCCAAAAGCAGCAGTATACACATTCTTCTCAAGTGCACATGGACTCTTTTCCAGAATAGATCACATACTAGGCAACAAAAAGAGCCTCAGCAAATTCAAAAGACTGAAATTGTGCCAACCAACTTCTCAGATCACAAAGGTATGAAACTAGAAATAAATTTTACAAAGAAAACAAAAAGGCTCACAAAAATATGGAGGCTTAAAAACATGCTCCTAAATAATCAGTGGATCAATGACCAAACTAAAACAGAGACCAAGCAATATATAGAGCCAATGAAGATAACAGCTCAATGCCCCAGCTTCTGTGGGACACAGTGAAGACAGTTTTAAGAGGAAAGTATATAGCAATTCAGGCCTAGTTAAAGAAGGAAGAACAATCCCAAATAAACAATCAAAACTCAGAATTAATGAAACTAGAAAAAGAAAAACAAATCAGGCCCAAAGTCAGTAGAGGGAGGGACATAATAAAGATCAGAGCAGACATAAATAAAATTGAGATGAATAAAACAACAGAAAGAATTAATGAAACCATGAGCTGGTTCTTTGATAAAATAAAAAAAATAGATAAACTCCTAGCCAGACTTATCAAGAAAACAAGAGAATCTATAAACATAAACAGAATCAGAAATGAGAAAGGAAAAATCACTATGGACACCATCAAAATACAAAGAATTATAAGGGAACACTATGAAAATTTATATTTTTATTATAAATTGGATAACCTAGAAGAAATGGACAACTTTATAGAAAAATACAAAATTCCAAGACTGACCTTGGAACAAACAGAAAATCTGAACAGACCAATAATCAGCAATGACATTGAATTGGCAATCAAACAACTACCTGAGAACAAAACTCCCAGGCCAGATGGCTTCACTGTTGAATTTTATCAGACATTTAGAGAATACCTATTACCCATCCTCCTTAAAGTTCTGCAGAAAGTATAAGAGGAGGGAATACTTCCAAACTCACTCTATGAAGCCAGCATCACTCTAATACCAAAACCAGGCAAAGACACCACAAAAAAATAAAATTACAGACCAATATCCTGAATGAACATAGATGTCAAACACTCAACAAAATATTAGCAAGCTGAATTCAAAAATACATCAAAAAGATCATACATCATGATCAAGAGGGATTCATTAAAGGATGCAAGGATGGTACAACATTCAAAAATATATCAACTTCATTCACTACATCAATAAAAAAAGGACAAAAATCACATGATCATCTCCATAGATGCTGAAAAAGCATTTGACAAAATTCAACATCCATTCATGATAAAAACTCTCGACAAAATGGGTATACAGGGCAAGTACCTCAACATAATAAAAGCCATATACAACAAACTCACAGCCAACATCATACTTATTGAAAAGCTGAAAGCTTTTCCTCTAAGATCGGGAATAAGACAAAGATGCCCACTCTGCCCACTTTTATACAGCATAGTACTGGAGGTCCTAGCCACAGCAATCAGACAACACAAAGAAATAAAAGGCATCCACATTGGTAAGGAAGAAGTTAAACTGTCACTGTTTGCATATTTGTTTGTACTTGATACACTTTTTGTACTTAGTATTGTACATAAAAAACCCTAAAGAAGTCACTCCAAAACAACTAGATCTAATATCTGAGTTCAGTAAAGTTTCAGGATACAAAATTAATACACAGAAATTTTGTTGCATTCCTATATACTAACAACGAACTAGCAGTAAGAGAAATCAGGAAAACAATTCCATTCACAATTGCATCAAAAAGAATAAAATACCTAGGAATAAACCTAACCAAGGAGATGAAAGACCTATACTCTGAAAACTACAAGACACTCAAGATACATTAAAGAGGACACAAATAAATGGAAATACATCCCATGGTCTTGATTAGGAAGAATTAATATTGTCAAAACGGACATCCTATCCTGACTAAAGCAGTCTACAGATTCAGTGCAATCCCAATCAAAATACCAGCAGCATTCTACAACAAACTAGAACAAATAGTTTTAAAATTCATATGGATCCACAAAATACCCCAAATAGCTAAAACAATCCTCAGAAGGAAGAGTAAAGTGGGGGGGGATTATGCTCCCCAACTTTAAACTCTACTACAAAGCCACAGTAATCAAGACAATTTGGTACTGGCACAACAATAGAGCCATAGATCAATGGAATAGAATAGAGAGACCAGATATAAACCTACACATATATGGCCAAATTATATAAGATAAAGGAGCCATGGACATACAATGGGGAAATGACAGCCTCTTCAACAGCTATTGTTAGCAAAACTGGACAGCCACATGTAAGAGAATGAAACTGGATTACTGTTTAACTCCATACACAAAGGTAAACTTGAAATGGATCAAAGACCTGAAGGTAAGTCATGAAACCATTAAACTCTTAGAAGAAAACATAGGCAAAACTCTTGAATATAAACATGAGCAACTTTTTCATGAACATATCTCCTTGGACAAGGGAAACAAAAGCAAAAATGAACAAGTGGGACTATGTCAAACTAAAAAGCTTCTGTACAGCAAAGGACGCAATCAGCAGAACAAAAAGGCACCCTATAGTGTGGGACACTATATTCATAAGTGACATATCCGATAAGGGGTTGTCATTCAAAATATATAAAGAGCTCATGTTCCTCAACACTCAAAAGGCAAATAACCCAATTTAAAAATGGGCAGAGGATCTGAACAGACACTTCTCTAAAGAAGAAATTCAGATGGCCAACAGACACATGAAAAGATGTTCCACATCGCTAATCATCAGAGAAATGCAAATTAAAACCACAATGAGAAATCACCTCACATTAGTTAGGACAGTCAACATTCAAAAGACAAGCAACAACAAATGCTGGCAAGGATGTGGAGAAAGAGGAACCTTCCTACACTGCTGGTGGGAATTTCAACTAGTTCAACCATTGTGGAAAGCAGTATGGAGGTTCCTCAAAAAACTCAAAATAGAAATACCATTTGACCCAGGAATTCCATTCTTAGGAATTTACCCTAAGAATGCAGGATCCCAGAATTGAAGACATATGCAGCCCTATGTTTATTGCAGCACTATTTACAATAGCCAAGAAATGGAAGCAACCTAAGTGTCCATCAGTAGATGAATGGATAAAGAAGATGTGGTACATATACACAATGGAATATTATTCAGCCATAAGAAGAAAACAAATCCTACCATTTGCAACAACATGGATGGAGTTAGACGGTATTATGCTCAGTGAAATAAGCCAGGTAGAGACAGAGAAGTACCAAATGATTTCATTCATCTGTGGAGTATAACAACAAAGCAAAAACTGAAGGAACAAAACAGCAGCAGACTACAGAACCCAAGAATGGACTAGTGGTTACCAAAGGGAAAGAGGTTAGGGTGGGTGGGTGGGAAAGGAGGGATAAGGGGAATAAGGGCTGTTACAATTAGCACACATAATATGGGGGGCACAGGGAAGGAAGTAAAGCACAGAGGAGACATGTGCTGATGGACAGTGAATGTAATGGGGTATGTGGTGGGGACTTGATATTAGCAGGGAATGTAGTAACCACAATGCCACAATGTTGCTCATGTGAAACCTGAGAATCAGATTGTATATCAATGATACCTTAATTAAAAAAATGCTAAGATTTGCCAATGACTGATGGTGGTTATGTGGATAAGCAGGTGTGTGTGTGTGATTTTTAAATACTTTTCATATTAGCAATATTTCATAACAGATATTAACTGGAAATTGTTCTAGTTATCTAGAATAACTAGTTTGAGTCACATATATTTATGATTGATTGCCTATCAAACTCAAATTTTGTTAGACAACACTACCATTTGGATGGAATAAAAATGAATGGCACATACGGTATTGGCCTATATTTTATTTGTATGTGGTTGGCTTTCAATCACAGCAACTCTTACTCTATTCTGAACATGATACTTAAACTAAGAATGGAAGTGAAAATTAAAATCCCTGCTGAAAGGCTGAATTGACCATTGCTAGACCACATGATAATAGAACTGACTTCTGCTGCTAGCCCCGAATGGCCATTGTCAGTGACTGCCAGCTTCCCTACTTTTGACCATTCTTCTAACTTAGGGCCAACCGGAGAAAGCCAAGTATGCTCACTAATCACTCACATGGGATGTCCTGCTCCCAGTTAGCCTGCCTGCAGCTTCCCTGTGCCAGAAGTCATCCCTGTGCCCACAGCAGCCCTTGAATCTATGCTGAAAACAGGTGGTGATGACTGACGCCCTTGCTATGCCAGGTTTTATGCTGAGCTTGGTCTCATTTGGGTGGTCTTCCTTTATTTCTGAACTGCAATTCTCTACTTTCCATAGGTTATCAGTAATACAGGTTTCAAAATGCATGAAAAAAAAGGAATATGATATTAGTTCCTCAGTGGGCTTAGCTTTTCAATATAGTCTATTTAAATTTGCTCTAATGCAAAGATTCCATCAGGTTCCAGACAAAAATGGAAGATTTGCTCATGTGAGAATAGTGCAACTGACACTTAGAGATGATTTAGCTCTTAAAATTCTGCTTGATCTACAGTCGCTGGGGATGGGATGGCCTGGCTTAGCAAAGCAAATGCACAGTGAGGCAAGACCAACCAGGACCCCATCACACACTTACACATAAGCATCACCGGGCTTGAGCAGGACCACTGAAACAGATTTTCAGCTGATAAGATTTATGCACAAAATCCTCATGGGCTGCTAAAATGTTTCCTGGGTCAGGCAACACCCTTAGAACTTTGGTTTTACCAACTATTGGACTGTTTTTAATCCTAGTACTTTCTTTCATTTTACTTTGATTTTATTTCATTTTAGTTTCTTCAACTCATCTTTAAAACTACTGATCTAATGCTCATGGTATTTCAAATTAAACTTAAATGACTTCTAATAGATTTGTACTCTTGCCATATGTTATTATTTTCATTTACCACTCTGTCTGTACCTATACTCTATTCTCTTTCCTTCTCCCCAGCTCTCTCTACTTCCACCATCCCACTGTCCCAAGGGATTCCCCTGAGACCTCTGAGCTGTACCTGCACAAAGATTCACTTCCATTTCTCACAGCAGCCCTAATCTGGACAGAGTTCTGTGGCCCTTTTGACTAACATGACATTGGAGTATGGCTTGAGAATGCAGTTGATATTCCTCTGTAGAGACAGGGCTGCTTGTTCGTGAGGCACTCACTTTATATAAGATGTGTTAACATCTCAGAAGCCCCAGAGGGCCTCACTGGATTTTCAGAAAAGGCAATAGTTGCTGTTTTAAATGTTCAACTCAGCTTAGGAAGAAAAGGGAAAATGGTGTTCACTATCTTCTGTTTAAGAAGACAAGGAAGTGTGTAATAGGATTTTTAAAAACTTCCTTGGAAAATGTTTAAAATAAGAGTTTTAAAAATTCAGAAAGAAGTTAAGATTCAGCTACTTAGAAAACTCACTTTAGGTGGGAGATTTGTCCAACATGCTGCATTACCACATGCAACCCCCACAAATGAGCATCTGCATTCAGCTAAATGTGCGACATTACTGGAGACGGATTACTGGGGGGATCACTAACTTCTTTGATTGGCACTTTTTTTTTTTTGGCTTTCTTTGCTGTCACCAGCTACAGTGAAATAAGAGGGAGTTCTTTGTTACCCAAAGCTCTTGAGATGTTACTTACCAACCAAGGTCACTGGCAATTCCTGTTCCATGAGAAAATGCAGCTCTTCAAGATTCCCTTGTAGCCAAGTACTGATATGCTCAATGTTTTCATCTCTTTCATACAGCTTGTCTATTAGATTTTTTATTTCCTTCAAGGTCTCATCACCACTGTCTACCAATTTCTTTAAAAAAATAACATTTTGGGGGTGTGTGAATATAAATTGCAACTAAGTAAAAACACACTCTGTCTAAGTGAATCATGTCCAAAGCAAAAATATATATCCAAAATTGGTATTAAACCATGCAAAGTAAGTATGTGTACACAGAAAATTCACAAAATTCTGGAAAAGATCTCAGAAAAAATGAATTATAAAATGTGAAGATATAATGATATAATGGAATGCTCACTGAACTCAAATTTTTAACTGGGTAGAACAGTGGTGGAGGTGGTGGTGTAAAAGCCAGCTCACTTTCAGAGCAGCACAGAATTGCAGAGGTGGTTCAACATGGTTCACAGGGTAAGAGCAAGAATTTTGGAATCAGGCTAGATGTGAGTTTTAACTCCCCACAAGTTCACTAGCTGCTTGGGCAAGTTACTTAAACCCTCTCAGCCTCAGTGGCTTCATCTGAAAAGGGCATCACTGAGGCTTCTTTTATCCAGTGTTTTAAGAGTTAAACAATGCAAATTTTAAATACTTCAAAAGTGGCAGAGCCAGGATTTAAGCTCCAGCCTACCTGCCTCCAAAGGAGGGAGGGGCGGAGATGTTGCACAGTCAGTAACATGGAGCATAGCAGAGTTCAGATCTGACCACTTTGTCCCAAAACAATAGGTGTTCAATTTGTACTTGCAAAAAATAAAATTAAATGTCATTCCCACTTTAGCTGAAACACTAGAGTGGGAAGACAGTTTCCCAAAGGATTAAGGTTTTATAGTGACATTTGGCACTGATAAAAATAAGACAACAGGCCCAAAATGGAGTAACTTATGCTAAGCCTCACATCACCTGAATTTACTCAGAATTAACTTCCTTAATCCTTGGCTCTTTCAGAAATGGGATCTTAAACCAGTCAATCAGAAATTGCCTTATCAGCACCTGTTAGGTAGCCTAGTTAAACTGCCTCCAGGGCCCCGGCCATCCCCTAAAGAAGAGTAACCCTGTAATAACCAATCTGCTTTTACACCAAGTATAACTTCCTTGTTCCCTCTCTTCTCTGCCTATGGGTCTTCCATGGTGTACAGCTCTTCCGAGTGCCTTTCTATCTGCTAGCTTGGACGCTGCCCAAATCATGAATCAAACACTAAGATCCTTAACTGGTTTTAGGATCTAAACTCAGGATCTAGAACTCAATTGAATTTTGTTTTTTAATAGCACTGAAAACACATTTTAGGATATGATAGTCACACTAGCTCTGTCACTCCCCTGCAGTCCTGACCTCCAATCTTATGCATGTGCACACACACATACACACACACACACTTATTAAGTAGGCAAATATTTTTAGACACTTGATACTTATAGAGGAAACACAAAAAGACTCACCTTAACTGTCATCTTAAATTCAGCCCATAAATCCAAATATTGTGCTAAAATGAAGATTTTTAAAATGCAAGGGTTACTTTTTTCTAATTTGAGCATTTTTTAAAAGTTATGCTATTTGTTTTATCTGACAATTTATAAATGACAGAAAAACTGAATCAGACTTTCCCTCCCATTGTAAACAAGGTGAAAATGGGACAAAATGTATTAAACAATTATATATTTTTTAAGATCCAGTTTTCAGATGCTGGGGAATGGGCAGCACAGGACTGAAAGAAAGGCCCGTCTGAGGGGAGCCCCACCACCTCACGGCTTTCTGCTGGAGGCACTTCCTAGGCCAGAGGCTGTCCTTCACACAGACACAAAAATCTTTACAAAAATTAGCAAGTCAAATCCAACAATATATAAAAACAATGAAAGCTTCTGAACAGGTGAGTTTTACCCCAGGAATGGGAAATTTGTGTAACATTAAAAAATCAATCAGTGTGATTTACCATATTAACAGCGTAAAGGAGAGAAATAGCGTCTGCGCATCTCAGGAGATGCTAGAGTAGCTGACATCGGTCACACAGGCGCTGCATGCCTACACGGCCGACCCCCTTCAGTCACCCTGGATGCCCAGGCTCCAGTGAGTTCCCCGCCTGGCGCTACTGGGCACAAGTTGTCACACATCGCTGCTGGGGAAATTAAGTATATCTGGGTAACTTCACAGGGACAGGACACCTGCTAACTTGCACCCAGTTTCACAATTTGTGAAAGCACGTGTAAGCAAATAGCAACCCCAAACTGGAAACAATCCAAATGTCCTTTAGCACATGAATGTATAAACAAAAGATGGTGTGCCCATATAATGGAGTACTGCCATCCTGCTACAGAGAGGGGCAAGTCAGCAGTGATGCAGGCAACAACACGAGGGCATCTTAACAAACAGTTTGCTGAGTGAAAGGAGCCAGTACAAAGCCAGATACAAAAGTGTGCATATTCTATTTATATCTAATTCTTAGTGACAGAAAGCAGATGGATGGTTTCCAGGAACTGGAGAAAGGGTGGGAAATCAACTACAAAGGGACACCAGGGGAGTTTTTCATGGGTGAAAATGTTCCATATCTTGCTTGTGGTGGCAGTGGTTACAGTGGTTTTCATGTGTCAAAACTCGTTGGACTTAGGGTGGGTGCATTTTATTGTATGCAAATCAATAAAACTGATTAAAACAAAAGAAAACAAAAACCCATGACACATTACTTACTCTGCTGATCTACCACTTGCCAAGTCAGGTTACTTGAGGCGTGCTTGAGGGTTTCTTGCCCCTTTTTGTATTGCTCTATGTTTTCCTTCATGTGCGCTATACACTGGAAGTTAAAGGCATGTGATCGCATTAGACAGTTTAGTTACTAGAGATTAATTGGGCATGCAGTCATTCACAAACATGAGTTGACTCCTCCTCTGTGTCACTGACTGCCTAGGTGAAAAGGTAACAATGGGGAACAGAGTCCTTGTCAAGCTTACATTTCGGTGAGGAAGATAAAGGACCCTGCTCCCGAGGAAGCCTTTCAGTACTCCAACAAATATGGCATTTTGAATATTTTTGGCCACAAAAGAAACTAAAAGGCATTCTGCCTAATGGCACCGGGTACACAAAAGAAAAGAGTGTTCCTTATGCAAAATGTGCGTGTAGTAAATGTCATAGGTGGCGATGCCGCCCGACTGGAGGAGCTCAGCCGGGCCCTGAGCAGAGCGCTGCGTCAGGAGACCCCACGGAGCTCTCACGTTAAGTCAGATGTTTCATTGGTTAGAATGACAGGGAAGTAGTAGTTTGGGTATTAAAGTCGTGGCTTTCTGGTCTGTCCCCCCAATGCTCAGGAACTCTAAAGTCTCTGGGAACTCTGAAAGCATGAGTGTTGGGTTGTAAACATGGCACTGGCCCAATTTTGAGAAAGAAATAGTTAAACTACAGATAAAATCTTAGAAATAGCATCAGTACCATAGACGGAGTGGACATGGAACTATTTTTGAGCTTCTGCAAGCTTGAGCTTGTGACACTCCTCGCATGACTCGTTAGCAGCTTTTGCTGTAACCCGAAGTAGAAGCCATCTGGGCCACGTCCGAGTCATCATTCCTGCCCCTCTTTGAATGTGGATCACTATTTGTAGAACTTACCCAGTTCAGCTCACCTCCCATAACTCTCAAACTTGTTAACACACTGATTTGTAATGATTCATTTATTTGCTCATCTCCTCAGCTAAACTGTGAGCTTCCTAAGGATGTGGGGCAGTGCGTTGTTCGTCTCTGTATTTGCTGCACCTTCCCCAGGGCTTGGGACTCAGGGGTACTTCAAATGTGTGCTGAGTGAAGGGATGTAATCAGCAGAGCAGAGAGTGTTGCATGAATAAGATAAGAGCACAGGGTCTTCAGGTAAATGGACATTGAATCAAAATGCAGAACTTTAGAATGTCTTCCAACTGCTCATCCATTGCCGAAATAGTAACACAAAATTCCTATTATTTTAGTAAATGATCTACATGATCATGATGGGAAGACAGTCTAGTGACATATTCCCATGGGTGGATGAAGTCCCTTACCAGTTTGCTTCAAGGGCCGGAAGGAAGGTGTGCTGCATGCGTGCGGGGTGTTGATGATGGAGGCTGGGCTCTGTGGAGTACATCTCCATTTTCAGAGTACCTTAGTACTTCCTAAAATATTTTAATTCTACTGTAAAACACATGTTATTGGTGGGATAACTGTTGCCACTTAACTGATGAAAAAAAACTGCATAGAGAGATAAAGGGATTTTCCCCTTACTTAGAGTCTTATTGCTGTACTACTCTATTTTTACCTTTCTAGCTGTTAAAAGTTCTTTAAAAATGTAGAGCTTCAGTTTCCTCAACTATAAGAGGGGCATAATATATTAACCATGTTGTAAGGTTATTGTGAGTATCAAATGGGATCAAACCCCTCTTACATGTGAGACGCTGTGCAAAACACTTGGGATAGACTGATACAGATACTGACCTTGACGTCAATATGGCTTACTGAAAACAATGATACAATCGCTACAAAAAAAATGGACAATCTAATTTTAAAAGTGGGCAGAAGACTTGAACAGGCACTTCACAAAGAGAATATACAAGCAATCAACAACACATGAATAGGTGCTTCATTAATCACCAATAAAATGCAAATTAAAACCCCAATCACATACCACTACACACCCTACAGAATGGTTAAATTGAAAAAGACCAAGTTTGGGTGTGAATAGAACAACTGGCACTCTCATACACTACTTACTGCTGGGAGTGGCAATCATTGCAACTTCTTTAGGAAACTGCCACAGGGCACTAAAGTGGATGATATGCATCCTTATGGCTCTGCAATTCCACATGAGATGTATACCCAAATTCACCAGAAAACATGCACTAGAATGTTCACAGCAACACTATTGGTGGTAGCACAAATTAGGAACTCTCTAAACCCCCATCAACAGTAGAATGTAAATAAATTTAGGGTAGTCCTACAATGGAATACTACACAGAACTAAGAATGAACGAACCATAACTGTATTCAACAGTAAGGATGAACTTCACAAACACAGGATTGAACAAAAGAGTGCATACTGTGTCATCATAACACTGTGTCATCATAACATATGTTTACAAACAGGCAAAACTAGTCTATGGTGTTAAAACTCAGTACAGTGCTGCCCTTGTGGCAGGTGAGGGATGGGAAGGAACATAGGATGTCTGGACACTGTTAATGCTTTGTTTCTTGATCTGGGTGCAGGGTATCCAGGTGTGTTCATTAAGCTGCATACTTAGGATTTGGACACTTGGCTGTATGCACTTCAAGCGTCGTTTAAAAAGCTTTAAGAGCTATTCTCTCTCTCCTTTTCATAGTAACTAGTACAGGTCTAGGCAATCAAATTGTGCAAGATCAGGCACACTTGAACTTACTTCTTTTAATCTCTTATTTTCCAGGAGCAAAGCATCTACTTCTAGGTCGTGGACATAGATTTCATTTTCTAAGTTCTTTAGAATTTCAAAATGAGTTTTGATTTTATAGCTTTCTTGATTTTGTAATTGTTTTAATTCTTGCTTCATTTTATCCTGCTCAAACATAAAACCCACAATTATCTCACAGTTCAAAAAGCAGGACATGAGTGTATTAGATAGCATGGACCACATTAAGGGAGGGGCTCTAATTGCTGAACTATCAGCAGAGGCTATGGATACTGT